AGAATGTTGAAAGACCATGATGCCCTTTTGTCTTAAAAAATCACATTAATGTTTGCTGGAATTACGCGAATGCCACCGCGTTTTTTATCCTGGACCCAAAGTTGGTTGACTCAATCTAAGCCGTCGGTTGAGCTGATCGGACGGTATTCAGTCTTTCTCATTTCCTTCACTAGGATTCATTCTCATATGATCCAAATTCTATATATATATATATATTCAAAACGACAAACTTTATGACTCAATAAAAATAAAGTTCGGAGGCAAAATAGCCTTTACAAGCTACAAAACAAACCAAAAGGAAGCAACTCCTTAACTACGGAATGGAGATTACATTTCATCATAGTAAACATTTGTCAGTCTCGTTTTGATAATTCTTTTTATTTTTTTGTTCTTCTAAAATGAAAAATAAATTCTCACCCGAGCTAAAACTATAAAAACAGTTTTAATTCCTATGAACATGTGTATTTCCTCTCAGAAACTGGGTGTATCACACGGGGCGTAGCCAGAAATTTTTTTAATCTGAGGTTGCATATTATTGTAGCTATTATTAGAACCAAGTAGATATGGTCATGGGCCGACACAAATCGGCTAGTTAACCATGAGTCTTGAATCGACCAGTGGTTTTGACCAGTCCGATTCATGTTTAATACTTTATAGTTTATACATTTCGAATAGGCGGTTTCAGTTTTGAACTGGAACCAGAACCAGAGGTTCGGCCTTTTTTTTTAAGTATTTTTTAATTTTTTTTTTTTAATTTCTTTTAACGAAACTAGGGGCCAGGAACCAGAAACTCAACGAACCGGTCAATGCATATGTTCGGGTCAGTTCATGGCCCTCCAACCCTCGGCCGGGGACCGTTGGTTTCAACCCAAAACCGGTTTTGGCTATGACTAGAACCGAATTATCTGTTAAACATTAAATTGTGAAAACACATTTTCGACTCGTTTATATATTAAATTAGCCAAACTCAAATAGCTAATCGAACTTGCCAATCAAACAACAAGAGTCAGACATGATTGCAATCAACTCTGTAAGATTTTTTATTCTTTATTTTTGTCTAGGAAATGAGGCCAAATTAATTATTGGAAACAAATTCAACAAAAACCAAAGGAAAATGCTTAACATACTGTGCAATATAGACAAACTCAATTAAATAGCCTGCATGGGAAGTGTGTGTCAAACATAATTATCCAACTCATTTGATACTTGTCAAATCAACTCATTAAGAATTTAAAAGCCAAGATACTGTTGAGTCATGTTATAAACTCAATTAATAAAAATCTAGTAAGAGCACAATGTTCACTTGACAATAAATGATTTTTTTTTTTTCAACTGGAAGGTATCCCGACGTTCATCCGGTGTTTTCATCGCCACCCACTGCCAGCCCGCCAATCTTAGCAAGAGCCCTCACGGCCTAGGGGCATCCACAGCAAGAGTGTGGGACTAATCCTCCCAAGTAAATGGCCAGCCCAATACTATCCACTGGCTGCCAAGTTCGATCTCAAGACCTCATCACAGATAGGTGTTTAAGAGTATCCGCTCTACCATTGTACCAAATGTCCTGGGGGCAGTAAATTTTTTTTATTAATATGGGGTTAGAGTCCACCTTAGCTCATGGTGGCTCCGGCCACCGAATGTTTCTAAATTGATGTGAAGTAACAAAAAAAAATATAAAAATATTAAAGAGTCTTACACTAGTCATACTTATCCACCCGTGTCCGTGTGGAGCGGAAAGTATCAATCCTTAAATTTATTTATTAATAAATCACTGCACTTGTCTATCTCTTCAAGTGACAATGATGGACAAATCTATTAAATTAGTTGGGTCATTCAATTTATCTCTCTCTTTGGATGGGCAGTCGGTAAGTTAAAAATCTATTAATTTTTGTCTTATACTTATATATTATCATTATTCTACAAACTAAGTACTATATTGCTTTTAGATTCTATTTTCAATGCAAGACCTCTAAATGTTGGTATCAACCCGTTTAACATCTCTAAACGCGTTAGTTGTCTACATAAATTTAAGTCTAGTCGTGTCTCATTTTTAGGCATAATTTTATGTTTCCTCACATTTTGTATAATTGCAGATAAAATTCAACATTTTTATCTTTGCGAATAGATATTAATCTTTTATTATGTGTTGCAAGTTTGTATTTTCCAACCAATCTTTGTTGACGTGTCCGATCAGAAATTTTACGTGACACTTATGAAACTTGTGTGACATCAATCTTTGAAATTACTCACCATGTTTTTGTCACATCATATGACAACAAATTAACCAAAATTAGAGTTTGGTACCAATTGAAAAAATAGAATTTTATCACCATGTTTTTTGCTCCATAATCTTCATAAAAGTCGAGTTCTTCTCCCCCAATTGAAAAAAAAATACAACGATTCTTTTCTTCACCATGGCGCGATTCTTCACCCCCAAAAATCGAGTTCACCTCCCGAATACATTTACGAGCTCACCCCCAAATTCTGAATAATTGGACAGAGAGAGAGAGAGAGAGCGATTTTCGAGTGATTTTTAGGCGATTTTAGTGTTCTGATCGGACATGGCAGCAAGATTGGTCGGAAAATAGTTTTGAGTCAAATGTGCAACACATAATAAATGTTTGGTATTTATTTGCAAAAATAAAAAAAAAAATTAATTTTATTTGCAATTACACAAAAAATGAGAATTTTATGTGCAATTAAGCCATTTCATTATTAGTTCAACACATTTGTCTTTATTCCAGCAAAGGTTCATGTTTTCAGCATACATCAAACTTTGTACATTAATTTGAAAAATTCATCACATAAGGTACACTAATCATTAGTCACAAGATAAGATTCGTTGTTTCCTTTTAGGCCTGTTTTGAACGTAGGCCGATGTCTATTTCAGGTGGATAACCCACAGTTGTTTCTCGTGGAGACAGTCGTATCCGTAAACTTTTAGCTCAATAATAGTTCGTTAACACTCATTTTCTCATTTGAAAAAAAATTGAGTTCTTTTATATATAGTTTAATTTCGACACCATTTACTTTAGGTGATGACCCACCCGAATTCTTCTTGTCGAAACAGTCGACCCACCAAATTTGATCACGATTGGAGCTTGTTTGTCTGCTCAACTTGTCATCCAAAATAATTTTAGCCAAATTGACTATTCTTTACCTTGGGGCAATTTTGGTGCTTTATAGGATAAGTTGTAGTGGGTGACTCACCATTAGATTTGCCTTATCATAATTTGTAGCTCAATTAGATTCCGTTTACTACTCAATTGTTCGTCCCAAATAATTTGAGTTGTAATGTTTTAGGACTAATTATAGTATCGTCTCAAGTCAGTTTATCAAGTATGTGATCTACCGTTGAATTCTTCCCGCCAAGGCGGCCGTATACCCGAAATTTCAGATCAGTGGATGTTCGTTTTCTCAGTCAATTGTCTCGTCTAAAGTTGTATGCACAAACTATATTTTCGACCTATGACTGACTCGTGATAAACCCGCACCGAGCCCGTGATAAGTTCAAATAATTAGGCTTTATCCTGCCACTAGTGATTAATGGCTGACAAAAAAGAAAAAATATGATCTTTGACAAATATAGTGGAAAAAAAATAAAATTATGCATTCA